GTTAAGCCAGACAGAGTAGTTATTTGTTCTGATTCATGTGCAGTGTTAATGAGTCTCCAGTCCTTTAGCTCACGTAGCAAACAAGACCTGCTTTATGAGGTGCTACAAACCCATGGCAGGATTAAACAGATGGGTATTCAGATAAGATTTACTTGGGTTCCAGCCCATGTGGGGGTGGAGGGGAAAGAGGCGGTAGATGAACAGGCTAAACAAGCACTTAGTAGTGGGGATGCTGATGTTGAAGTGTCAATGAGCAAGGCAGAGGCAAAAATACTGATATATACAGTGATGGTGAAGAGATGGCAGGAGCAGTGGAATAGAGATAATAAGGGAAGGCATTTATTTCAAGTACAGAGGAAAGTCGGGGAGGGGAGGGGAGGACGGCAGGAAGGGACAGAAGAGAGGAGGCTATTTTTACAAGATTAAGGGTGGGACACAGCCAGCTGAATAAGACATTAAACATGATAAGAAAGCATCCATCAGGAAAGTGTGATTATTGTCAGGAAATAGAGACTGTGGAGCATGTATTGCTACAGTGTGGGCAGTATCAGAGGGAAAGAGAGAGGATGAGATTTAGTATGAGGGAGAAGGGGATACAGGAAATTAGTTTAAAGAGTATATTGAGCAGAACGTCAGTAGATATAGTCTCAAATATTGTATATTTTTTAAGAGAAACAGGGTTGGCAGGTAGGAATGAGTTTCTCCCTGTCGCTGGCCCACACTCCAGTACGGTAGGTGGCGGTAATGCACCATAATGTTGGATGCCAACCGCCGATAAACCCCACTGAAGAAGAAGGCGTTTCCACTCCCTACCAGATATGGTGACGAGACAAAGCCCAATGGCCGGCAGTGAGTCAAGCTGGAGCGAGATGGATTTTTGGGCGAGATTCTGCTAATCGATGAAACATTTGATCTCCGTACAGTTTTCTGTTTCCAAAACTAGAATCTGTAACAAATAGAGTGGACTGTGTTTTGTAAACTTTACCCTTTGCCAAAGTTAAAAAAAAAATTGCGTTGTTTAGGAGCGCAAGGGCGAATTGAGTTATTGCACACGCGCGGTTCAGAGTAGGCGGTTCCCTGAAGGTAAAACGTAAATAAATGCTAGAACGCGCCAATAGGATAATAATTATAATAATTGCTCCTGTAAGCAGACTTACAGGAGCAATTAGGGTTAAGTGCCTTGCTCAAGGGCACATCGACAGATTTTTCACCTAGTCGGCTCTGGGATTAGAACCAGCGACCTTTCGGTTACTGGCACAACGCTCTTAACCACTAAACTATCTCACTAGCTCGTGCTTGGCTCTGCCCACTATGACTCTTTTGCTCCCATTGGAAACGACAGGCTCTGGTCTATCTTGGTTACTTATAAAGCATCTTCGGCTGTAGCGTCACAAGAGATCATTATCTCCACATCTGCCTGTTGGTGTCGTTCTTATATTTCCGTTTACATTTTAAGTCATTTAGCAGACGCTCTTATCCAGAGCGACTTACAGTTAGTGAGTGCATACATTTTTCATACTGCCCCCCCCCCGTGGGAATCGAACCCACAACTCAATGGTTGGTATATGTCTAAAGACAACATGGTAATAAACTGTACTTGGCTGCAATAGCAAATATATTGGTAATTTCTTTGCAGTGGGTCCGTTTCTTGACTCGATCGATAATCATTGCTGCTCTCTGGTGTCCAGATGCAGACCCTGTGTACTTACATTTCACACAGAAATAATCATTCATTTATAAATCACTGGACTGGATTTTTTTTTATTCAATAACTTTTTTTTTCTCCAAGCATGTACACAGAATTAATTTTAAATGATAGTATATATATATATATATACACACACACATACACTTCAGTGTATATCATTATCTAAAAAGTTTAGGGCCAATATTGGACACTGCAGCTGTGCGCTTGAGAGAGAAGAGGAGGCTTGTTGTCTGGACTTCTGGGCTATACATCCACACAACGGCAAAAGTCACTGGTGGACAAAACTAACGGTGGAGCGGGTTGGAGCGTCACACCAGTGACTTGGAATTGTAGCAAAGCAGGTCGGGAGAGAAGAGCGGTTGTGCTGCCAGGAGACCGAAGAGTTGACGTGGAGAGCGGCAACACTGCCCCCAACAGGTAGAGGAGAGGCGCAGCAGTGCACAACAGCAACGTCACAACGATGAGTTTTGTACATGTTGAATGTGAAGGAACCTACATGCGTGTCTAAAACACCTGACTAGCAGTAATGAACAGCACCATGCAGTGAGACTGTAGACAAAACAACCAGGTTCATCCCAAAACACCTTGTTTTCTCCTGAAGATGGAATCATAGCTACATTTTCTACAACTTACGTTTGCCATACTGTAAAAAATATGTAACTTTAAACTATATTTTACAGGATGTATGAACCAATACTATAGCATAGACATTCTGCTGCCCCCCCCCCCCCCCAAACCAGAGACGCTATAATCTGTGCAGTAGACCAAGAAGAACAACCAACAGTAGCAGAACAGTTTCGCTGCCGTGTGTTCTTGTAAAACCAGACAGTTCTGATCATTCCAGTTCTTATATAACAATACAGTATAATTCATCATTCTAAATCACTACCGGGAATGAAACGCATCAATAGCCAGAAATGAAACCCATGGTGTGGGACCAATATGGACAGATATTTGGGAGAGATTGAGTTTTCCAGTTTTAGCAATACAAAAAAAAATGAACACACCCAGTTCTTGACTGTGCCGGTCGAATATATCTCTTTCCACCTTAACTACCATTACACCACCATGTTGTCTACTCAGAATGCAACAAGAGGGATTATCGGAACTGGTCGCAATTCGCTCCCCATTCCTTCCGCTTGGCACTAACCCCTTTGATGTTTGCAGATCTGTAAAGTGCTGACCCTTCAGATGTACAAACATCAAAGAAATAAGGCCAAGGGGAGGGGGTAGGGAACTGCTGGGAGAGAGGGATCCCATGGACCAGTGGACCAGGGCATGTTGTTGTCTAAGTGCTGGAAGGACTGGTGGGTGTGGCCGGCCAGGAGGGAGGGGTCAGGCTGAGTGTCGTGGGCGTGGCCTCTACATCATCCCCATCTGCATCAGGGAGTTCGCGTACGCCATCGGCTTCACATTCGGATGAGGCTGTGGAGGAGAGATAGAGAGATAATTTATTGGCCGTGGCTACGAATACGGAGTTTTAGTCTCAAAGCTAAGGGATCCAGATCCGTTCTGCGCATGTGTTATTTTCTGCACACTACGTAGCTATTGCTCACACTCCACCTGCCTTCATGTTTCTCTTTAAATCACACTCTTCTGAACCATGACGACATATAGCCTCTCTCTGCCTCATATTTATGAACAGCTGAAATTAAAAACCCTGTGGCCATTCCCACAAATATTTATTTAAGGCTATAACGACCCCGTCTGTTGTAACCGATATTGCAGTTGCGCAAGCAGGACAGTCCCAACACACTGCATTGTAGCAAAAGCAGTCAGCGTTTTGTGTGGTGTAGCCAAATCTTAATAGTCGCTGCCATATCGTAGCCACTAGTCAGTGCTCCTGGAAAAAAAAGAGTAACTCCCCACTTGAGTTTTGCGTCGGGGCAAAAAAAACTATCTGCGTTTTAACCGCTCACCCCTGGGCAGCCAAACATTCTCGGCAGCCCGAGCATGTGTATCCGGACCGGTAATCAGAGTCTGACAACGGGCGAGTTCGTTTTTTTAAAAATCGCGCTGTTATTCCTTACGTCGTTTGTTAACTACTGCTTTAGACTGTCTCCTATTGGTGATGATAATCTTCATCGTTAACTACTGCTTTAGACTGTCTCCTATTGGTGATGATAATCTTCATAGTTAACTACTGCTTTAGACTGTCTCCTATTGGTGATGATAATCTTCATAGTTAACTACTGCTTTAGACTGTCTCCTATTGGTGATGATAATCTTCATAGTTATGCTGCCTTATCGTAGTGAGAGTTGCTGGAAGAAAAGAACTAGCCAATGTTTGCAATGATGAGAAAATCATGGCTATTTTGACTGCCTGTATGTGTCGTGCTTGTGTTCAATATGCTGGCCTACATATACTGTCAGAACAGACAAAGTGTGCACCAACATGTCTTTTGTGGAGGCTAAAACATGAAAAAATAACACACAAATCGCACTTGAGGGATGGAATGCATATCTGGAACATGTTGACCATATCTTTAGTGTACAACATTACATTTCCTCCTCCATGTCAATGAGGGGGAAGCGGCAGCGGAGCAGTGGGAAGCAGACTCTGCTGCTTCCCACACGGCTTCCTACGTAGCTGCTTCCCACACGGCTTCCTACGTAGCTGCTTCCCACACGGCTTCCTACGTAGCTGCTTCCCACACGGCTTCCTACGTAGCTGCTTCCCACACGGCTTCCTACGTAGCTGCTTCCCACACGGCTTCCTACGTAGCTGCTTCCCACTCGGCTTCCTACGTAGCTGCTTCCCACTCGGCGGCTGTCTACGTAGCTGCTTCCCACTCGGCGGCTGTCTACGTAGCTGCTTCCCACTCGGCGGCTGTCTACGTAGCTGCTTCCCACTCGGCGGCTGTCTACGTAGCTGCTTCCCACTCGGCGGCTGTCTACGTAGCTGCTTCCCACTCGGCGGCTGTCTACGTAGCTGCTTCCCACTCGGCGGCTGTCTACGTAGCTGCTTCCCACTCGGCTGTCTACGTAGCTGCTTCCCACTCGGCTTCCTACGTAGCTGCTTCCCACTCGGCTTCCTACGTAGCTGCTTCCCACTCGGCTGTCTACGTAGCTGCTGTTCAGTGCTTCCCACTGCCCCCTCATTGACATGGAGGAGGAATGTAATGTTGTACACTAAAGATATGGTCAACATGTTCCAGATATGCATTCCATCACTCAAGTGCAGTCCGAATTTGATCATGACAAGAAAAATATATTTGATTTAAAGGCCTGAAAGGTACTGTAACTAAAGAGATGTACTGTTATTGTTAAGGTTAATATGTCATAGTTAAAATCAGATGTACTGACCACAGCAGTGAACTGGTGAAACTCTGGTTTGAGGTCTGATCCCCTGAGGTGGATGTACGCTCCTTTATTAGCCATCTGATCACTGGGGGGGAGAGGGGAGAGAGGAGAGAGAGGGAGGGGGGGAGGGGGAGGGAAGGAGGGAGAGGGAGGGAGAGAGAGGGGGGAAGGAGGGAGAGAGAGGGGGGAAGGAGGGAGAGAGAGGGGGGAAGGAGGGAGAGAGAGGGGGGAAGGAGGGAGGGAGAGAGGGGAGGGAGGGAGAGAGAGGGGGGAAGGAGGGAGGGAGAGGGGGGAAGGAGGGAGGGAGAGAGGGGAGGGAGGGGGGAAGAAGGGAGGGAGACAGGGGGAGGGGGGAGGGAGAGAGAGGGGGGAGAGGGGGGGGGGGGGGGGGGGGGAGAGAGAGAGAGAAGACATTTACTGTGATCTTAAACTCTACGCCTTTAGAGGGGGTGACATTTGACATGTGAGAGTCTTACAATAGATATTGTTTTAGATCTGACAATGCAGAAGCAAATCACTAAAGTGGGATTGAATAGTGAGTCTGTTGCCCTAGTTACCAGTAGTTGGGCGCTGAGAAGACTGTGATGCACTTCCCTGAGTGTGTGACCTCATAACCCTCGGCCTTGACCTCGTGGCTGCGGACGATGTAATCCAGGTTGTTCTGTTCCAGGAACCGCTCTGTGACGTCAGGTCCAAATTGACAGCTCACACCTCGCTTAGAGACAGACCGCCCATTCTGAGGGTCGGGAGGGGGTAGAGAAAATCATTAAATAGACAGATGACATCATGCAGCACAGCTATTTAAACCAGATTATATAATAATTATATATTGTTGATGACAGAGTATATTTCTAGGGCAGTGCCGGGCACCAAACCTGTGGCTGTGGGTCAGACCAGAGAAGATCACACATGGGACCTGAAGAAAACAAACAGTTGATTAAACAACATTTTAAATCCTAGGTCCTAAATGAGACAAAGATATCGATTAATTGATCGCTCTTACCAGAGTCTGGGGGCTGTCTGTTCCTGTCGATCTTCCTCAGATCATCCAGCATCACTCCGTCCTCACTGAACAGCCCTCCGTGCATCACCTGACACAGACACAACACAACTATAGACAATATTCTCAAAATGTCCAGTTCTACCATTGGAAGCCTACAGGTGTCAGCATGCTTCAGTTGGGCTGGGGCCTAGCAGAACTCGGCTAGCTGAACTGAACGAGAGTGCTTGAATACTCTCTTAAAAGACCCTTGCTTGAAAAACGAGAAAAAAGCAGCAATAGTACAGTTTGTCCATTTTGAGTCAGAATTAATCTAACTCAAGAAATCGGTCATTAATTTTGATGTTTTTGCCGAAGAGATCTTAGTCACGCAATTTTACATCTAACTAAGAATTTTGGTGCAGTGTTTATCAATGAAAAGATGTGCAGGAAAATGAGTCGTCTCTCACTGAATGACAGACTTTATTGAAGAATCCCTACTGTTGACCAATCACAGACGAAGAGGCGTCGACTTTTCTTGCCTCCAGAAAAATGTGTGCCCGAACAGCCCCCCCCAAAAAAACTCACGAAGTCCAAAATGTCGTCATAATATATGCACAAACTCTACCAAACGGTTTCGGCTGGGAAGCATGCGGACGCCTTAACAGAAACCCTACCATGACTTTGCTGTTGATACACTGTGTGAGGGCTATCAGGGTTTAGAGGTCAAAGGTTAGGGATACCTAACAGGACTTTGCCGTTGATGCACTGTGCCAGAGGTTAGGGGTCAGGGTAAAGCGTATGCTGCGTTCACAACAGCTTGTAATTTTGTAAATACCAGCATACAACTGGAAAAAAATGCACTTGGACGCCCCTCCAACTGGTTATTACAAGAGGGAAACTTGTCTATCGTCCAGAGTTTCCCACTTGTGTCTCTGACGTCAGTTGTCAACAAACAAGACAGCAAGCATGGCGACATCTTCAGCAGTTGTTGATTATGGTAAGAACTAAACACAAATTGATAAAAATGTATTCTGTTATTTTTCCTTTTGATTTAGAAAGCAGATCTGGATATACTTTTTATGGGCAAAAAGAGCAAAACAATCACCAGCCATCTGGCAAGCGGTACCGGAGCACCGGCTCTCGGACCAACAGGCTCCGATACAACTTCTAACGGTACCGGAACACCGGCTCTCGGACCAACAGGCTCCGATACAGCTTCTAACAGTACAGGAGCACCGGCTCTCGGACCAACAGGCTCCGATACAGCTTCCAACGGTACCGGAGCACCGGCTCTCGGACCAATAGGCGCCGATACAGCTTCCAACGGTACCGGAGCACCGGCTCTCGGACCAACAGGCTCCGATACAGCTTCCAACCCCAAGCCATAAGACTGCTAAATAGTCAATGAATGGTACCCAAACTATCTGCACTATCTTGCACTGACCCTACGCACATTAACACACACACACACCCACTACGTTGACACTCCCACACATGCATACCAACACAACACACACTTTCACATTCATCACATGCTGCTGCTACTCTGTTCTTTATTTTACTCTTATTATTATCTATCCTGATGCCTAGTCACTTTACCCTGCCTTCATGTACATATCTACCTCATATACCTTATTATTATCTATCCTGATGCCTAGTCACTTTACCCTGCCTTCATGTACATATCTACCTCATATACCTTATTATTATCTATCCTGATGCCTAGTCACTTTACCCTGCCTTCATGTACATATCTACCTCAAATACCTTATTATTATCTATCCTGATGCCTAGTCACTTTACCCTGCCTTCATGTACATATCTGCCTCAAATACCTTATTATTATCTATCCTGATGCCTAGTCACTATACCCTGCCTTCATGTACATATCTGCCTCAAATACCTTATTATTATCTATCCTGATGCCTAGTCACTATACCCTGCCTTCATGTACATATCTACCTCAAATACCTTATTATTATCTATCCTGATGCCTAGTCACTTTACCCTGCCTTCATGTACATATCTACCTCAAATACCTTATTATTATCTATCCTGATGCCTAGTCACTTTACCCTGCCTTCATGTACATATCTACCTCAAATACCTTGTACCTCTGCATATTGATCTGGTACTGGTACTCCCTGTATATAGCTCCACATTGATCTGGTACTGGTACTCCCTGTATATAGCTCCACATTGATCTGGTACTGGTACTCCCTGTATATAGCTCCACCATTGATCTGGTACTGGTAGTCCCTGTATTAGCTCCACATTGATCTGGTACTGGTACTTCCTGTATATATTCTCCACTTGATCTGGTACTGGTACTCCCTGGATATAGCTCCACATTGATCTGGTACTGGTACTTCCTGTATATACTCCACATTGATCTGGTACTGGTACTCCCTGTATATAGCTCCACATTGATCTGGTACTGGTACTCCCTGTATATACAGTGGGGGGGAAAAGTATTTAATCAGCCACCAATTGTGCAAGTTCTCCCACTTAAAAAGATGAGAGATGCCTGTAATTTTCATCATAGGTACACGTCAACTATGACAGACAAATTGAGAATTTTTTTCTCCAGAAAATGACATTGTAGGACTTTTAATGAATTTATTTGCAAATTATGGTGGAAAATAAGTATTTGGTCACCTACAAACAAGCAAGATTTCTGGCTCTCACAGACCTGTAACTTCTTCTTTAAGAGGCTCCTCTGTCCTCCACTCGTTAACTGTATTAATGGCACCTGTTTGAACTTGTTATCAGTATAAAAGACACCTGTCCACAACCTCAAACAGTCGCACTCCAAACTCCACTATGGCCAAGACCAAAGAGCTGTCAAAGGACACCAGAAACAAAATTGTAGACCTGCACCAGGCTGGGAAGACTGAATCTGCAATAGGTAAGCAGCTTGGTTTGAAGAAATCAACTGTGGGAGCAATTATTAGGAAATGGAAGACATACAAGACCACTGATAATCTCCCTTGATCTGGGGCTCCACGCAAGATCTCACCCCGTGGGGTCAAAATGATCACAAGAACGGTGAGCAAAAATCCCAGAACCACACGGGGGGACCTAGTGAATGACCTGCAGAGAGCTGGGACCAAAGTAACAAAGCCTACCATCAGTAACACACTACGCCGCCAGGGACTCAAATCCTGCAGTGCCAGACGTGTCCCCCTGCTTAAGCCAGTACATGTCCAGGCCCGTCTGAAGTTTGCTAGAGTGCATTTGGATGTGTGAAGCATGGGGGTGGAAACATCATGCTTTGGGGCTGTTTTTCTGCAAAGGGACCAGGACGACTGATCCGTGTAAAGGAAAGAATGAATGGGGCCATGTATCGTGAGATTTTGAGTGAAAACCTCCTTCCATCAGCAAGGGCATTGAAGATGAAACGTAGCTGGGTCTTTCAGCATGACAATGATCCCAAACACACCGCCCGGGCAACGAAGGAGTGGCTTCGTAAGAAGCATTTCAAGGTCCTGGAGTGGCCTAGCCAGTCTCCAGATCTCAACCCCATAGAAAATCTTTGCAGGGAGTTGAAAGTCTGTGTTGCCCAGCGACAGCCCCAAAACATCTCTCATCTTTTTAAGTGGGAGAACTTGCACAATTGGTGGCTGACTAAATACTTTTTTCCCCCACTGTAACTCCAATCCTGTGTATTGTATTTTATTCCTTGTGTTACTATTTCATTTTTAAACTGCATCGTTGGGAAGGGCTCGTAAGCAAGCATTTCACGGTAAAGTCTACACCAGTTGTATTCGGCTCATGTGACAAATAACATTTGATTTGATGACCTCAATGTTTGATGGTACTCTACATCACCAAAAGTATCTCGTCGAACATCTCATTCCAAAATCATGGGCATTAATATGGAGTTGGTCCCCCACCTTTGCTGCTATAACAGCCTCCACTCTTCTGGGAAGGCTTTGCACTAGATGTTGGAACATTGCTGCAGGGACTTCCATTCAGCCACAAGAGCATTAGTTAGGTCGGGCAATGATGTTGGGCGATTAGGCCTGGCTCGCAGTCGGCGTTCCAATTCATCCTAAAGGTGTTCGATGGGGTTGAGGTCAGGGCTCTGTGCAGGCCAGTCAAGTTCTTTCACACTGATCTCGACCAACCATTTCTATATGGACCTCGCTTTGTGCATGGGGGCATTGTCATGCTGAAACAGAAAAGGGCCTTCCCTAAACTGTTGCCACAAAATTGGAAGCACAGAATCGTCTAGAATGTCATTGTTTGCTGTAGCGTTAAGATTTCCCTTCACTGGAACTAAGGGGCCTAGCCCGAACCATGAAAAACAACCCCAGACCATTATTCCTCCTCCAAACTTTACAGTTGGCACTATGCATTCAGGCAGGTAGCGTTCTCCTGGCATCCGCCAAACCCAGATTTGTCCATCGGACTCCCAGATGGTGAAGCGTGATTCATCCCGCCGGGGAACGCGTTTCCACTGCTCCAGAGTCCAATAGCGGCGAGCTTTACACCACTCCAGCCGACGCTTGGCATTGCACATGGTGATCTTAGGCTTGTGTGCGGCTGCTCGGCCATGGAAACCCATTTCATGAAGCTCCCGACGAACAGTTCTTGTGCTGACGTTGCTTCCAGAGGTAGTTTGGAACTCGATAGTGAGTGTTGCAACCGAGGACAGACGATTTTTACGCATCAGCGTTCCTATTCTGTGAGCTTGTGTGGCCTACCACTTCACGGCTGAGCCGTTGTTGCACCTAGACATTTCCACTTCACAATAACAGCACTTACAGTTGACCGGGGCAGCTCTAGCAGGGCAGAAATGTGACGAACTGACTTGTCGGAAAGGTGGCATCCTATGATGGTGCCACATTGAAAGTCACTGAGATCTTTAGTAAGGCCATTCTCCTGCCAATGTTTGTCTATGGAGATTGCATGGCTGTGTGCTAGATTTTATATACCTGTCAGCAACGGGTGTGGCTGAAATTGCAGAATCCACTAATTTGAATAGTGTATTCCCCAAATTCCAAGTTCAAAACGTGAATGTACTCATCTCGTATTTACGAATATTTACGACGTATTTACCACATAGTTATGAATGCAGAATTACCTACCAGGACCTTGCCGTCGATGCACTGTGCTAGAGGTTAGGGGTCAGAGGTTAAGGGTCAGGGTTACCTACCAGAACTTTTCCGTTGATGCACTGTGCCAGAGGCAGCCACTGGAAGACCTCACTGAAGAGCGTAAACATTGGAGTGGTGTACTTGGCCTTCACCTCCCCCTCAAAACCATACATCTGGTTCATGTTGTCAGTCTCGTGGTTTCCTAGTTACACAGGAACATATGGACATTAGTTACCAACACAATTGACCGACCCTTCGCTAAGCCCCGCCCCAGAATTTTGGCCAACCAATCGCAACGCTTCGATGGATAGCAACTGTAGTTGAGTCCGACACCTCAGACAAGGTCACGTTTCAAACCCTTGGAAGCCAAGGATGGCTATGGCAAAAACAGAGATTTCATTAAAAATATATATTGTTTAAAGGGCTAAATAATTGAACAGTGCACCAGGGGTACTTGCAACTATGATACATGAAATACAGAGCCTGTTGTGTTTTTAGAATAATAACTTATACTGTTGTTGCATTGTTAGCTAGCTAGCTAGCTGGCTGGTTAGCTAGGTCTCATTGAAAATATTGCTAACGCTAGCTGGTTAGCTAGCTCTCATTGAAAACATTGCTAACGCTAACTGGTTCGGTACATCCAAACATCACACCTGAGGGACAGGTACAGGATGGCAACAACAACTACCAGAGTTACACCAGGAACGCACAATCCCTCCATCAGTGCTCAGACTGTCTGCAATAGGCTGAGAGAGGCTGGACTGAGGGCTTGTAGGCCTGTTGTAAGGCAGGTCCTCACCAGACATCACCGGCAACAACGTCACCTATGGGCAAAAACCCGCCGTCGCTGGACCAGACAGGACTGGCAAAAAGTGCTCTTCACTGACGAGTCGTGGTTTTGTCTCACCAGGGGTGATGGTCGGATTCGCGTTTATCGTCGAAGGAATGAGCGTTACACCGAGGCCTGTACTCTGGCGGGGGATCGATTTCCGTCATGGTCTGGGAGAGTGTGTCACAGCATCATCGGACTGAGCTTGTTGTCATTGCAGGCAACCTCAACGCTGTGCGTTACAGGGAAGACATCCTCCTCCCTCATGTGGTACCCTTCCTGCAGGCTCATCATGACATGACCCTCCAGCATGACAATGCCACCAGCCATACTGCTCGTTCTGTGCGTGATTTCCTGCAAGACAGGAATGTCAGTGTTCTACCATGGCCAGCGAAGAGCCTGGATCTCAATCCCATTGAGCACGTCTGGGACCTGTTGGATTGGAGGGTCAGTATGTCCGGGAACTTGCAGGTGCCTTGGTGGAAGAGTGGGGTAACATCTCGGCAGGTAGCTTAGTGGGTAAGAGCGTTGTACCAGTAACCGAAAGGTCGCTGGTTCTAATCCCCGAGCCGACTAGGTGAAAAATCTGTTGATGTGCCCTTGAGCAAGGCACTTAACCCTAATTGCTCCTGTAAGTCACTCTGGATAAGAGCGTCTGCTAAAATGACTAATAAATAAATAATAAAAATCTCACAGCAAGAACCGGCAAATCTGGTGCAGTCCATGAGGAGGAGATGCACTGCAGTACTTAATGCAGCAGATACTGACTGTTACTTTTGATTTTAACCCCCCCTTTGTTCAGGGACACATTATTCCATTTCTATTAGTCACATGTCTGTTGAACTTGTTCAGTTTAATTTCTCAGTTGTTGAATCTTGTTATGTTCATACAAATATTTACACATGTTAAGTTTGCTGAAAATAAACGCAGTTGACAGTGAGGACGTTTCTTTTTTTTTTCTGAGATTAGTTAATATAACTAATTGGAATATAGCAAAATTGGCTATTAGGAATATAACTCTCATAGGCTGTCGACATCAGCAAACCATTTGAGAGCACTTGTTAGCTCCAAACGTGGTTAATAGCTTTGACTGCCTGCAGAGCGCCTTTAGCGCCATCCAGTGGTTAGCCACACTACAAACTTAATTTGACCAGGTTCCCATAAAGCAATTGTAATGACAGTTCACCACAACATACCCGAGGGTCTCCTGATCAGCAAGGGGTAGTCTGTGTTTCATTTCATTGTGTATTAAAAGCACAGTTTAAGATCATTGTGAGGGTTTTCTCCAGTGGTTTGAATGGGGAATTGGGCTTCCTGGTAAAATGTTGACCAAGGTTGTAACAGTAACCAAGGGTGGCAGGGCTTAGCGAAGGGTCAATTACACACGGGGAATATAAACATTAGCAAAGACGGAAGAATGGCCACTGATATACAGTGTTCTTCTCAACTTCCTCTGTGAAGGTGTAGGGAGGAGGATACTGACCTCTGAGCAGCTGTAGGGAGGAGCATACTGACCTCTGAGCAGGTAGGAGGAGTCAGGGAGGAGCATACTGACCTCTGAGCAGGTAGGAGGAGTCAGGGAGGAGCATACTGACCTCTGAGCAGGTAGGAGGAGTCAGGGAGGAGCATACTGACCTCTGAGCAGGTAGGAGGAGTCAGGGAGGAGCATACTGACCTCTGAGCAGGTAGGAGGAGTCAGGGAGGAGCATACTGACCTCTGAGCAGGTAGGAGGAGTCAGGGAGGAGCATACTGACCTCTGAGCAGGTAGGAGGAGTCAGGGAGGAGCATACTGACCTCTGAGCAGGTAGGAGGAGTCAGGGAGGAGCATACTGACCTCTGAGCAGGTAGGAGGAGTCAGGGAGGAGCATACTGACCTCTGAGCAGCTGTAGGGAGGAGCATACTGACCTCTGAGCAGGTAGAAGGAGTCAGGGAGGAGCATACTGACCTCTGAGCAGGTAGGAGGAGTCAGGGAGGAGCATACTGACCTCTGAGCAGCTGTAGGGAGGAGCATACTGACCTCTGAGCAGGTAGAAGGAGTCAGGGAGGAGCATACTGACCTCTGAGCAGGTAGAAGGAGTCAGGGAGGAGCAGCTTGAAGCCAAACAGAGTCAGGATGACCTCTAGGGAGAACGAACCACGGTCCACAAAGTCTCCATTAAACAGCTGTGTTATATTGTTAAGGGTTATCATGTACATTTATTTGAATACAAACAGTTTTACTGCACATGTGACCGTGGCTATGACTGAGCAGGATACATAGGGGTTGGTCTCGGAGGGTAAGCCGTTCAGCTCAAAGATGTTCAGAAGGTCGTAGAACTGTCCGTGTGTGTCGCCACAAATGGTTATCTTCTCTGTCTGTTGGGGAGGAAACAGAACAGGTTTAGGCACAGGGACAGTTCATATATGCTGTAGGGGATAATCAGACCACCAAGTGCTAACAGTCAGTATCTGGCTAACATGTGTGAAATGCTTGATAATGTATGTGATATCAACAGAGAGGTATATTTTCTGGGTGATTTAAATATTGACATTTATGAAATTACTTATTCCAGTTATTAATAAGCATGCACGATTGGCAAGATTAGCAAACTTAGGCATGACATGCCAGCAACAAACGCTGACACTACACATCCAAGTATATCTGCCCAAATTATGAAAGACAAGAATTGTACTTTTGAATTCCGTAAAGTGAGTGTGGAAGAGGTGAAAAAATTATTGTTGTCTATGAACAATGACGTGCCACTTTGGTCTGACAACTTGGAAGGAAAATTACTGGGGATAATAGCGTACGATATTGCCAATCCTATTTGCCATATCTTCAATTTAAGCCTACTAGAAAGTGTGTGCCCTCTGGCCTGGAGGGAAGCAAAAGTCATTCCGCTACCTAAGAATAGTAAAGCCCCCTTTACTGGCTCAAATAGCCGACCAATCAGCCTGAAAAAATTGTTTGACCAGATACAATGCTATTTTACAGTAAACAAATTGACAACAGACTTTCAGAACACTTATAGGGAAGGACATTCAACAAGCACAGCACTTACACAAATGACTGATGATTGGCTGAGAAATTGATGATAAAAAGATTGCTGGGGCTGTTTTAATAGACTTCAGTGAGTCTTTGGACATTATCGATCATAGTCTGCTGCTGGAAAAACGTATGCGTTATGGCTTTACACCCTGTGCTATATTGTGGATAAAGAGTTACCTGTCTAACAGAACAAAGGGTGTTCTTTAATGGAAGCCTCCAACATAATCCAGGTAGAATCAGGAGTTCCCCAGGGCAGCTGTCTAGGCCCCTTACTTTATTCAATCTTTACTAACGACATGCCACAGATTGAGTAAAGCCAGTGTGCCTATGTATGCGGATGACTCAACAATATACACGTCAGCTACTACAGCAACTGAAATGACTGCAACACTTAACAAAGAGCTGCAGTTAGTTTCAGAATGGGTGGCAAGGAATAAGTTAGTCCTAAATATTTATAAAACTAAAAGCATTGATTGTATTTGGCACAAATCATTCACTAAACACTAAACCTCAACTAAATCTTGTAATGAATAATGTGGAAATTGAGCAAGTTGAGGTGACTAAACTGCTTGGAGTAACCCTGGATGGCAAACTGTCATGGTCAAAACATATTGATACAACAGTAGCTAAGATGGGGAGAAGTCTGTCCATAATAAAGCGCTACTCTACCTTCTTAACAGCACTATCAACAAGGCAGGTCCTACAGGCTCTAGTTTTGTCGCACCTGGACTACTGTTCAATCGTGTGGTCAGGTGCCACAAAGAGGGCTCAAAACAGGGCAGCACGGCTGGCCCTTGGATGTACACAGAGAGCAAACAATAATATGCATGTCAATCTCTCCTGGCTCAAAGTAAAGAAGAGATTGACTTCATCACTACTTGTTTTTGTAAGAGGTATTGACATGTTGAATGCACCGAGCTGTCTGTTTAAACTACTAGCACACAGCTCGGACACCCATGCATACCCCGCAAGACATGCCACCAGAGGTCTCTTCACAGTCCCCAAGTCCAGAACAGACTATGGGAGGTGCACAGTACTACATAGAGTCATGACTACATGGAACTCTATTCCACATCAGGTAACTGATGCAAGCAGTAGAATCAGATTGAAAAAACAGATAAAAATACACCTTATGGAACAACGGGGACTGTGAAGCAACACAAACATAGGCACAGACACATGCAGACACACACAATAACATACACACACGTACACATGGATTTTGTGTTGTAGATATGTGGTAGTGGAGTATGGGCCTGAGCGCACACACTTAGTGTGTTGTGAATTCTGTAATGAATGTATTGTAATGTTTTTAAAATTGTATAACTGCCTTCATTTTGCCAGACCCCAGGAATGGGGATCCATAATCAATACAAATACAAATCTGACAATTGGAGGACTGGACAGGATGAAGAGCAATACCAGGAAGTCAACATACATCACGGATGTCTCACCTCTTTTAATGTGATCTCAATTAGACTGGGCAGTTTGGATAAGAGTTCTTTGACTTGGATCAGAATCTAAAAGGAGACAATTTATTAGTCAACACAAATACAGAGTTACATAAGGTTTCAAGCTGATGCATAAGGTTAGGTTTACCTGATTCGTACACTAATAATACAGTATTATAGGTGTACCTGCTAAGTACTATAAAGTTACAGTATTATAGGTGTACCTGCTAAGTACTATAATATTATAGTATTATTATAGATGTACCTGCTAAGTACTATAATATTATAGTATTATTATAGGTGTACCTGCTAAGTACACTAATATTACAGTATTATTATAGGTGTACCTGCTAAGTACACTAATATTACAGTATTATTATAGGTGTACCTGCTAAGTACACTAATATTATAGTATTATTATAGGTGTACCTGCTAAGTACACTAATATTATAGTATTATTATAGGTGTACCTGATAAGTACACTAATATTACAGTATTATTATAGGTGTACCTGCTAAGTACACTAATATTACAGTATTATTATAGGTGTACCTGCTAAGTACACTAATATTACAGTATTATTATAGGTGTACCTGATAAGTACACTAATATTACAGTATTATTATAGGTGTACCTGATAGGCACACTAATATTACAGTGTTATTATAGGTGTACCTGCTAAGTACACTAATATTACAGTATTATTATAGGTGTACCTGATAAGTACACTAATATTACAGTATTATTATAGGGGTACCTGCTAAGTACTATAATATTACAGTATTATTATAGGTGTACCTGATAAGTACACTAATATTACAGTATTATTATAGGTGTACCTGATAGGCACACTTTCTGTGCAGTTTCTTCTGGTCTTTGAAGCACTCCATCATCTCTTTCATGAACGTCATCGTCACCTTCCCTTCTTCCAGCTTCGGTCCTGTGTACTCGTCCTCGATCACTACATGGTGGCACAATCAACCAACCAAATGTATACAGCCCATTTTACAGCAACATTTGTCACCAGGTGCTTTACAGTAACTCAGCCTTGTAACTCAGCCTTGAAGATCTTCCATTTCTAAAGCACCATGATGTATAGAGGCAGTAGCCCTTTATTTAGACATTCAAATGATATAAAATCCATACTTTTAAAACAGTTATAACCAAAAAGATTAAAAAAAGTAATGAATCCTAAAATATAAAAATGACAAACTACTCACTCATGTTTTCGATGTCTAGGGAGTCTACGACCGATTTCTTGATCTCGTCACTGGCGATGGCTCTCTCGAAGGCTTTCTGTTTCACGATCTTGTTGCACTCCTGGTATTTCATCTTAGCGTCCTTATCGTTGGGTCGCACCCGCACTACCTAACCCCACAACACCAGGCAGAAACACACAGGGCCAGGCCTAGGGTCAGTCTCACATTTAAACACTATGCTGGTACCAGTACTACATATGGGTCAGTACCATGGTGAGTTACATAACATATGGGTCAGTACCATGGTGAGTTACATGACATATGGGTCAGTACCACGGTGAGTTACATAACATATGGGTCAGTACCACGGTGAGTTACATAACATATGGGTCAGTACCATGGTGAGTTACATGACATAAGGGTCAGTCCAAAATGCAAAGTAAAAGATTTTACAGCCATGGTTTGGTAGTAAATTAATACAAACCGTTTTGATTTCTAGAAATCGTTAATGCTTCTCTCCTCTCACTAAGGCTTCAGTGATAGCCTCCAATAGAGGCGGTTGCATCTGTGTGGAGCAATATGTCCATGACACCAATGCTCTAAATTTGTCTCAGTGACAGACAGGCAGCTATCACTGTCAGTGATGTGGCACAGTCAGCCAGCCAGCCAGTCAGCGAGTCAGCGAGTCAGCGAGCCAGCCAGCAGAGCTCCATGTTGCCAGAGCTTTAGGGTGTTTATGTCAACATGGAACGAAGACCAGCCGTTTTTAAATTACCTTTTTCCACTGACCAAAATGTATATTTGATGGAATATTTCATTGATGGATTAAACCTTTGATCGATTTACTGAACTGACCACAATTAAAACAGAATCTAGCCCTGGCAGTAAATGGCTGCCTAGTTATCACACTGTCAAGGTAGAGACCTCTGCAAGATGACATCATCTCAAACAGGGCGACTTTCTAAACTGTGAAGACGCCCCCATTATTGGCTCCTCCCTTGTGACACGCCCACATTCTCCACTTCTGTCCTCATCTTACTACTACTACATTTACATTTACATTTTAGTCATTTAGCAGACACTCTTATCCAGAGCGACTTCCAGTTAGTGAGTGCATACATTATTTTTTATTTAATTTTTCATACTGGCCCCCCGTGGGAATCAAACCCACAACCCTGGCGTTGCAAACGCCATGCTCTACCAACTGAGGTACATCCCTGCCAGCCATTCCCTCCCCTACCCTGGACGACGCTGGGTCAATTGTGCGCCGCCCCATGGGTCTCCCGGTCGCGGCCGGCTACGACAGAGCCTAGATTCGAACCAGGATCTCTAGTGGCACAGCTAGCACTGCGATGCAGCGCCTTAGACCACTGCGCCCCTCGGTGCCGCCACCACCACCACCACCACCACCACCACCTCCACTACTACTACTACTACTGCTGCTACTACTACTACTACTACTACAACAACAACTGAGCTTATGTGGAGGTTTCCATCTGGTCACCAACATTATTTTTGCCGGAGTCAATCCGTACAACTATACTCGTTTCTGGGGTACTGTGAGAGTCAATGAAGAGTAATTGTTCAACAATAAAATATTAGGGAGATGGGGAATGGCAGCACCAACTATACTTGACACAGACCTGGCAACCTGTAACCAAAACGTGTTCACACTGGGGCAGTCCCACATGTGCAATGTAGGTTCCAATATTTATTTGAGAACACAACAGACAATTTAGAGTCAAATAAAATCTGGAAATTAATTTGTAGTGTAATTAGTTGATGATTCACAGGGGATATTCATTGGGATATTATTCCAGAATCTTCTCCAATCTGTATTTTGTTGGTAGTCTTTAAGATCTGTGTTCCATACTGTAACTGTCAGAGCCAAATAGGTAAATATTGTATATTTGCATGTTTCCAATTCATGATGCATTTCTGTTGTTTGTGTGTTTGCCATTGATCCGCTGTCAAGTGTGTGTACCCCATCTACAGGCCAATGGAGAATACAATTAAAAAGGAATACACGCTCCAAGGCCTAATGGGAGTGGCCGGAATGGCAGCGCACAGTCTTTTGACCGTACCAGACCATGTCCACCCTGCTGTTTGTTTCTTTAGTTTAATGATCACAATTCATTTTGGTAGAATCCTATACATTTTTGTATCCAGAAGAACGACAAATAAATGTATTATTATTTTTCGACTTGAATCAAACTCTGGACATTGGATTTGTATGCGTCAAGACTAACATGTCACCACTCTCCATCGTGGCTAAAGGATTAAAATGGAAATGTTTTGGAACAATTATATTGGACAATGTAGCCACTACAGTAAATATACCACCTGGGGATTTACAATGATGTCATCCTCCTAAGTGTACCTTGAAGCCTCCTCTCCTGTCATCATCCTAAGAGCACCTCGAAGCCTCCTCTCCTGTCATCCTCCTAAGAGCACCTTGAAGCCTCCTCTCCTGTCATCATCCTAAGAGCACCTTGAAGCCTCCTCTCCTGTCATCATCCTAAGTGTACCTTGAAGCCTCCTCTCCTGTCATCTTGCTGAGTGTACCTTGAAGCCTCCTATCCTGTCATCTTGCTGAGTGTACCTTTAACTCTCGTCTAACCGTGTCCGGTCTTACCGTCTCGTAGTCTTTGAGTGCAGCCTTGAACTTTCCCAGGGACATGTTGGATGTGGCTCGGCGGTAGTAGCCCTTGATGTAGTTCTTGTCTATCTCCAGACACTTGGTGGCGTCGGCCAGGGCGTAGCCATAGCATTCTGTCCGCAGGTACGCCAGGCTGCGGTTGGAGAAGTAGATGGCGCTGGCCGGGTTGAGCTCCAACGCCTCCGTGTAGTATTTGATCGCATTGTCATAGTCTTTCTCTAGAAAACAACATCACATTCATTGTCATAGTATTTCTTTAGAAAACATCACCACATTCACTGTCATAGTATTTCTCTAGAAAACATCACATTCATGGTCATAGTATTTCTCTAGAAAACAACATCACATTCATTGTCATAGTCTTTCTTTAGAAAACATCACATTCATGGTCATAGTATTTCTCTAGAAAACAACATCACATTCATTTAGATCAGAATCAGTTCCACTGAACCAGAAGCCTGAAGCCTGATGGGCCGCTTTCTCAGGCTGACAACTAACAAGGCTAAAGTGGACTTCCCCTAGTCACTCATTATCTTCAATAATATGCATTTATTGGCTTAATGCCCAACAAGGAACGGGCTACTCAACTTCTCAATGAAAACCCACGGAGTGGAGTTGTCAATGGCTGTATTGAGCAAAGTCATAAAACCACAAGGTTCAAAGGCTGCACTATAATGTGTACCACTGTAAGACAAACCCACACAGTAGGAAGTGTCTTTCCCTTAGCGGGTGGATTGGTTGGCTCATTGATGAAGTGTTATCTTAGCACTGTGTTGCTGTGATATGGAAGTGTTACCTTACATTCTCCTAGATTTCAAGTGCAATCCTACAACACACTGATGGGATCCATAGCAGGATAACAGTGGTATGCTACTACAGTAACTAGCTACCCCGTGGAAACTCTACACTACCAGTGTAGTGTAGTAGTGTAGGGTATCAGGGTACTGTAGTGTAGTAGTGTACCAGGGTACTGTAGCAGGGTACTGTAGTGTAGTAATGTAGGGTACCAGGGTACTGTAGTGTAGTAGTGTACCAGGGTACTGTAGCAGGGTACTGTAGTGTAGTAATGTAGGGTACCAGGGTACTGTAGTGTAGTAGTGTACCAGGGTACTATAGCGGGGTACTGTAGCAGGGTACTGTAGTGTAGCGTAGCAGGGTACTGTAGTGTAGCGTACCAGGGTACTATAGCAGGGTACTGTAGCAGGGTACTGTAGTGTAGCAGGGTAGTGTAGTGTAGTAGTGTAGTGTACCAGGGTACTGTAGTGTAGTAGTGTAGCGTACCAGGGTACTATAGCAGGGTACTGTAGCAGGGTACTGTAGTGTAGCAGGGTAGTGTAGTGTAGTAGTGTAGTGTACCAGGGTACTGTAGTGTAGTAGTGTAGCGTACCAGGGTACTATAACAGGGTACTATAGCAGGGTACTGTAGTGTAGTAGTGTAGCGTACCAGGGTACTATAACAGGGTACTATAGCAGGGTACTGTAGTGTAGCAGGGTAGTGTAGTAGTGTAGTGTACCAGGGTACTGTAGTGTAGTAGTGTAGCGTACCAGGGTACTATAGCAGGGTACTGTAGCAGGGTACTGTAGTGTAGCGTAGCAGGGTACTGTAGTGTAGCGTAGCAGGGTACTGTAGCAGGGTAGTGTAGTGTAGCAGGGTACTATAACAGGGTACTGTAGCAGGGTACTGTAGTGTAGCGTAGCAGGGTACTGTAGTGTAGCGTACCAGGGTACTATAGCAGGGTACTGTAGTGTAGTGTAGTAGTGTACCAGGGTACTGTAGCAGCCATCATAAGGCCTGCTGTCTATCGGGTTTTAACCACAGTAAAGACTCTTGGGGCTGCACTGCACCTGAAGTTTCTGCTGTGACTAAATAATAATAATAATAATAATAATATACCATTTAGCAGACGCTTTTATCCAAAGCGACTTACAGTCATAGATATCTTCTCACATCCGTCATGGAAAGAGAGGAGCAGCATGGACGTCTCCTTTCACATATTTTCCATCCATTGCCCCGTAAACTTGATGGTTGATATGACAATGTGCAGACACTTGCACATTGAGTTGTGGCCATGTAGCTAGCTAGCTATTTCAAATCAGTGCACTTCTTTTGGCAACAACTCTGATTTGCCTTGGACAATAACTAAACCATCTTCTAGCCAGAATGTATCGTCAACCTATTGACTTGGTATCCTGAGTTACAGGAAACATACTGCAGGAGAATACTGATACTGTTATTACTTAATTTGCTAGATAAACACCAGAGTTTATCACGTTAGCTAGCAGTCTCACGTAGCCAGACCCTGTAGCATTCAAAGATAGTGGAAGTAAGCCGTCTGGCTTGAGAGACTACATAATGACGGGACATCTTTCACGCCATTTCGCCCGGTTGGCAGTGTTATACATCACAGTGGGCTTCAAAACGTACGTTTTCCAAAAAATTGAATGATGTGTAATGTCAGGTTTTGCTTGCTAGCCAACCAACAACGTCAATGAATGCTGCTATCAAGCCAACCTACTACACTTACGCTACTGAATGCAATATATGAAACTGATCATGACTAGATTTAATCTCATTTCACTGCGATTGGTTAGTCAACATGCAATAATAGCTGCATTCTGTCAATCACAGATGAGTTATTTGCATTTAGATTAACAGAATCTGATTAACTGAGCCTTTCCCCCTCCCTTTTCAGGGACTGATGTGATCATGTGAACTGCTCATTATATTGTAAATGTTTCACAGTTAGCAGATGTTAGTTTACTGGGGTTCTAATCAATATAAAGGTTTCCTGGGGTTCTAATCTAACAGTTTACTGGGGTTCTAAGCAATCTAAACATTTACTGGGGTTCTAAGCAATCTAAACATTTACTGGGGTTCTAAGCAATCTAAACGTTTACTGGGGTTCTAAGCAATCTAAACGTTGACTGGGGTTCTAAGCAATCTATACGTTTACTGGGGTTCTAAAAGTTGAGTTTTTCCTCCCTAGAATGAATTTGGTATCAGCGTTGCTTCATTAGAAACGGTTAATCTGGTGGATTTTTGGATGTCCTTGGTCTTATTTGTTGGAGGACATGTGGCCAACTGGTCCTGGAGGCATACTCACACACCCAGACATGTGGCCAACTGGTCCTGGAGGCATACTCACACACCCAGACATGTGGCCAACTGGTCCTGGAGGCATACTCACACACCCAGACATGTGGCCAACTGGTCCTGGAGGCATACTCACACACCCAGACATGAGGCCAACTGGTCCTGGAGGCATACTCACACACCCAGGCTCATTTTACAGTCCCACTTTGTGTGAATGATGCAGTATCTCAACTTTAAAACATTTGTTTCGATCCTTTCTATTCCGTGGCTGCATGAAATAGCAACCATAACATGAATTCAGCGACGACATTAGTTTACTTCATCTTTGTGTCTCCCTGATAAACAAGTAACATCCATTACAAGAAAGAAAACTACAGGAAAAGGGCATTTAAATGTGAAATCCTCCGTGGGGTGCCCAAATTGATGACATATGTCGCGCAGCTGAAAGTCGAGTGGAAACGAATGGATTTCGGTTCAGTCATCCTGATGAGCCCTTCCCAGCTAGCTAGTTTATGATGGCTAGCTGGCAACAACAGCAGCATGGCACCAGTCAGTGTGCTCCAACATCAAAGGGAAATATACTTCATTGGATAATAAATCCTCAAGCTGCTGGGACATTAGCCCGCCAAGAGGAGATTCGTTCTCCAAAACAGAGTAAAGACGTCCTCCCAAACGCTCCTTCTTGAGGACAAAGTAATGGGGCTGATGTGCATCAAGCGGCTCCAAGGAGTTGGACAGTTTTGACTTCCCAACAGCAGCGGCTCACTTTGAGCAGGCCAAGGTCTGCCGCCGCCAACACAAGTAAATGATTGTGTTGGTCAGACCCGGTCCCAGCAGTTCTGCTGCCTCCCTAGGCAAGATCAACATATGCTGCCCCTGTGTCACGTATAGTATAACGATTTGGAATGGATTGATAGAGTAATGATGTGCATCATGAGCAATTGGTGCATTTCAGTTGAGCTTATACAGTAGCACTTGGAAACGAAACATTGTTGTCAACTTATTACATCAGAGAGTTACAATGTTGTAATCATTAGACAGCCAACTGGGCGGCAGGTAGCTTAGTGGTTAAGAGCGTTGTGCCAGTAACCGAAAGGTTGCTGGTTCTAATCCCCGAGCCAACTAGGTGAAAAATCTGTCGATGTGCCCTTGAGCAAGGCACTTAATCCAAATTGCTCCTGTAAATCGCTCTGGATAAGAGCGTCTGCTAAATGACTAAAATAAAAATAAAAAATAACTGTCTATAGTAGGAAACGGTGTTGTTATCAATCACTAGGCAGCCAACTGTCTATAGTAGGAAACAGAGTTGTTATCAATCACTAGGCAGCCAACTGTCTATAGTAGGAAACAGAGTTGTTATCAATCACCAGGCAGCCAACTGTCTATAGTAGGAAACAGTGTTGTTATCAATCACCAGGCAGCCAACTGTCTATAGTAGGAAACAGAGTTGTTATCAATCACCAGGCAGCCAACTGTCTATAGTAGGAAACAGTGTTGTTATCAATCACTAGACAGCCAACTGTCTATAGTAGGAAACAGAGTTGTTATCAATCACTAGGCAGCCAACTGTCTATAGTAGGAAACAGTGCTGTTATCAATCACCAGGCAGCCAACTGTCTATAGTAGGAAACAGTGTTGTTATCAATCACTAGGCAGCCAACTGTCTATAGTAGGAAACAGTTATCAATCACCAGGCAGCCAACTGTCTATAGTAGGAAACAGTTATCAATCACCAGGCAGCCAACTGTCTATAGTAGGAAACAGTGCTGTTATCAATCACTAGGCAGCCAACTGTCTATAGTAGGAAACAGTGCTGTTATCAATCACTAGGCAGCCAACTGTCTATAGTAGGAAACAGTGTTGTTATCAATCACTAGACAGCCAACTGTCTATAGTAGGAAACAGTGTTGTTATCAATCACTAGGCAGCCAACTGTCTATAGTAGGAAACAGTGTTGATATCAATAAGCCACTTATATCACACGACACGAGTCACGACAGTTCAAATTACAATAACCATTACAGTTCTACTGGATGTTAATAAATGTTAAGAGAGATATCATTTGAGCTTTGGAAACGAGTGCTTTCATAAATGCATGGGCTCGGGCCTTATTCCACAGGAGCATTGGAAAATAAGCTCTTTCTCAATGAACCAGCCTTAATGAATTTTGCTTATTTACACATCGAAG